CAGCAGCAGCAGCAGCAGCAAAAAAGGAATCATTTTATAGAGTTGTCTTCCGACATTTTTTCAAGTATAATTACTGCTTTCAGAGATGGTGAAATTTTTTGCATCTAATTTTTTTTCTGATCAATTAGAGGTTTACTATGATTAGTTAATTCACTTTACTGTGTCAACTATAGAAATTGATGTAAAGATTTGGTGGTTTTTTTATTAAACTGGTGTTTGTCAGGATAATTTGGCCGGTTACTCTTTTTTATTAGTATACTTATGTGTGTGTGTGTGTTTTTTTTTTTGTATTCGAGCTTCTCAAAGTGTGACTGTTTGTATATATTCACACAAATATATATATTTATACAACAAGTCTTTTGATGAATAAGTCAGAAAGATGAGCTTTTGGGTATAATACATGTTTTATGATCTTCTTTTTTTTTCCCTTTTGCTTTTGAAAATTCAAAGGAACTCCCGAAAAAAATTGCAATTTACATAACAGTTATGATACCAAATGAAATGGGTTTTTCTTTTTTTGCTGTCTGAAAGCAGTTAGTTGATACTGTATGAGTATAGAGATGCTCTGACAGACGACTGATTGATTCACCGAAAGTTGTATGTTTATTTGGGGGAGCAGTTCTCGGTAATATGTGACGAAGTTGTAAAAATAACTTCTAACTAGCATTTGAAATATTCAGTGTTTAGAATTTTACGATGATCAGTGAAATAGATGGCAATAATGCAGCATATTGTATGAGATAGAAAGCGAAACGTTTGGTTATTTCTTCTTTCCTCCTCTTCCACCTTTGCCTTCCTCATCTTTCATTTTAACTCCAGCAGTCCTGAAAACTTCAGTTTATATTATATTCTTTTTGGAGTCGAGGGCTTTATTAATGATATCTGTGTAAATATACATGTAAAGAAAAAAAAAAAAAACAAAGCCGAGCAAAATTTTTTTTTCTAAAAAATGAATTTTTTTCTCACTTAGTGTGTTATTTTTATACGCACATATTTAATGGGGATTTCAATTTGATGGTTTATGGGTTCTTATTTTCTTTTTCAAACAAATTTTCCAATGATTTATTGTATCAGTTGACATTTTATCTTTGGTATATATTTGGCAAAAACTTTGTTTTTGTTTTTTAATTTTGTAATACTCTTAAAGGTTAAAAAATAATTCACATACATTGTTCTGTTGCAAACACTAAGCATTTGTTTCATTTATCATTTCTATTTTATCATATTTTATTTTTTTTTTTTTTAAATGACTAAAACAAATTTATGTTTTTTATATTTTGTCTTATAAAATTTATTAATACTTCTTTTCAAGGAGAAAAAAGTTTTGTTGTTGTTGTTGTTGTTATCATTGTTTTAGGTATTATAATGCAGACACATTTTTTAAATACCGCTAAAGTTAACAATGAAAGGTGTTAATTGTCGGTTAACATATTTTTGCTAAACAACTA